CTTGCCCGAGGATGTTCAAAATCCTTCTCGAGCCTACGCTTCCTAAGCCCTTTCGGATATATGCTATGAATGCCGGTGTTGATCCCACCGGGAGACGTAAAACCGTTAACATATCATAACTATGGGGAAATGGGAAGGGGGGGGCAAGAGTGGGTACATACCCTGGCACAGCGGATAAATAAATAAAAAGTCCAACAACACATGCGAGTGATTACACTGTGCGAAGACACCCTAGGGGGTTAGAACAGAGACTGTGTAGGCTGTCCCCTCGCTTTCGGTTGTTTTACCGGGAAACTGCGCACGTGTATGATACCGTATGTGATGGTTATATAATGATTGCCGGCTGCTCCATTAATCAATCTCCAACGGAGAAACCTTTTGATACTTCCTCCATCACTCAGGCCGTGTACAGCAGGTAGTGGAAATATCATAATAATATTATTATATGAGCTTGTCTCAGTAGAAAACCCACTCTCGGGCCACAACCACAAATAATTTATTTCAGCCTAGCCACCTATCTAGACATCTAGAGTATATGTTCAGTAGCTCAGAAAATATTATTTGTCACCTAATGATCTCTGTAGCATATTTTATGCAGGAAAAACTGAAATTTTGAAATTTTCACTTTTTGCCATGTAAAATAAATTTTGCTCTCTAAAATTCTTGTAGTCAAAGAATTATTACAAAAAGTTTATTCCTTGCTGCACTATTTCTGTTTCATGTTGGTTGCATATATTTTCAATAATTGTATTTCTAATGCTACTGTTACATGCGACCAATAGATTGTGCTTATATAATATGAGTGATATGTTATGATGGATGTAGTATTAGTTAAACTACAGTGAAAATGTAATAAAAGGTATTGTTTTACTATGAGTATTAACTTAATGATTAATTAAACATTTACTCAAAGTTAATTTAACTTTTGTAGATATGATAATTCATGTCAAATTACCATAATACTACTTGCTTTCTGTAACAGAATTACCTGGGTGAATGATAACTTAGTGATAGAGATCCAACAACCCTTCACGACAGCTACAACAATGTCAGAGCTATTGATATCATCAAATGAGTCAGTCTCCAGCTGTAATTCAATCGAAAGTGAAGCATATGCATGGGAAAATGAGACAGAGATTGAGTATGAATCTGAGGATGAAGAGATGGAAAGCATACATGGTATGTATACTATCCAATTATAAAAAGCAATTTTATACAGAAAACAAAGTCTTTAATCCTAGTTGTATTATTTATTACTAACTAATATAAAGATTTAGGAGATGAGAGTAGTAAATCCAATCAAAAGAGGATTGAGGAGTATATTAAACAGACGTACTCAGAGTAACTAGGTAAGTATAGAGTTCACCTTTCTAAGATTAATGAGACTTGTTCCTTCAAGAGAGAATGTCATAAACAGGCCACTTATATGCAATGGTTCACTTGGATAAATGCCAATTGTGCTATAGAAACAAAGCAGTGTAAGCTGCTAGTAAGTTGTCTTATGGCTAGTACTATAACATTTGCAAAGCCACATGGAACTAGGAAATACAATAAGAGATCCTTTCTAGAGATGGAAGATGGTGAAATAGATTTAAGTAAGCGTATACGCAGAAATAAGTACGTAATCTCCTTTGTTGGTCAAGTGTGCTGTTCTTTTTTTTGCTGGTACTGGATTTTAGGCAAGTATCAAGTACGTGGATTATTAGGCCACTTGAAGTTAGGTAAGTTAATATGCCCTTCAATCTATAAGCATACCGCACAGCACTCAAATAGAGGCTTGACTAAAGAAGTTAATGATTGTATAGAATCATTCCTTTCGCAGCTTGAAAATGATTATGATGAGCCAGTAGCTACTAGGCCCTATAAGCAATATAAACAGGATGGGACTATAATTACCAGAGTAGAGCTGGATAATCAATATTTACTTCCTTCCTTTTATTCTTTAAGTATTCTGCATGCTGAACTGAAAAAAACAAGTTTAGTAAGACAGTCTATATCACTTGTCAGCTTTGACCAATATTGGAAGAGAAGTAAAAGATTCAAGAAGATGCGTATCCAAATCCCTGCTAAAGACATTTGTGATCATTGTACAATTCTAAAAGGAAAGCTCCACTCTCCCGAGGGAACTAACGGAATGCAAGAGGAGATTATGTTAGGAATACCAGAACCCAATACCTAGGAACCACCCTAGGTAGGGTAACCCCACTCGGAATTGGAATCTCTAGTCTCCAACACCCCCCTCCAGCTCCCTTACGGGGCCCGCACGTCATCATATATATTAATCTCAGTTGCGTCCTGTGACTATATTACTACAGAATTGAAGGTGTTAGAATAACACTATATACATCATCGCCGTCTGTCCGACCTGACCCTGTTCGCAGGATATGTGAGAGGGAACCTTCAGCTAGATCTGGGAAGTGGAACAGAGTAATTCCGTCAACTACTCAGAGACTTACTTGGCTTCAAAGACATGACACCTTTGACATAGGCCGTAGGTAACAGGACAATTTCGCACAAAGAGATGGTATCAAATGGTAAAGGATCTCTACTAGAGGCCAATACATTTACATCCACCAGAAGAGTCTAGAACTCCAAAAGACACTACCAAAGAAGCCAACAAACTTCACGGAGTGTTGCAACTGGGTTTCAGAACACGTTGTAGTCATGGGGTGATTCTCAATATTACTGTGGTTACTGAAACCTACTACCCAGAGAGCAACCAAGGGTTGCCGACCGAGGGATTAATTACCAATCTGGTAGAATAGATTCCTGCGAGTTAATAGAAAGTCATCCAGAGAAATTTTATCGGTTGGGTATGGAGTTACAAAGGATCAGAGTCAGATGACCTACGATGATTGTAATAACAACCATCTTTGCAGATATAGCCGTGGATAAAACTGATCATTTTATCAATGGTGAAGACAATTGGAACCAACTCAGTTCAACTTAAGAACTAGGCCATAAGTCTAAAGACTCTGCTAATCGGGATATTACTATTGGGGACAGTACATTTCCTAAGAAGAAATATCGTAATTACCGAAGAGGGTGTGATGGTTTTCAGGGTTCACAGATATTCGCACCTTGGAAGAAAACTCAACGTCGTGAATTACGATTGAAGAAGTACATAGTTGTATGATAAATAAATGTAGTCTGCAAACACTCAGACACGGAATATAAATATCGAAGTGCCTCCCAAGCTTTAGACATCATCAAGCAATGGAGAAGAGACCTTAACAATATAATATTGTTTTTACGATTCTACCCTACTTTACATATTTTACTTTGCTCCTAGTATTCATAAATGAAACCAGTAAAGTCCGAGCCCCTAGACAATCTCCGTCTACAAAAACGAATCTTGATTAGCCTAGACAACCTTGAGGTCTATCAAGTTGTCTCCGCCTAATAGATTACACATGATGAGAAGCTAATACAAACTCAAAAGGAACTTGATCAGCATCATAAGAAATATCAAGAGTGTAGAGACTTTTATGAGGCCACTATCTTATAAGCGACATGCTATCCAAAGGATACAGCTTGCTATTCATTTGACTTCCAGCAGGTAGTTGAGATACCAAAGCTCCCTCAACAGCCTGGTCAATGGTACTTCTTTTCACCTTTTAAGTTGTATTAATTTGGAATTGTCAATGAGAATAAGTAACATAATCAGCATCACCATCTACTATATACTGAGGCACAGCAACCAAAAGGCCCAAATCAGGTAGTATCTCTCCTTCACTATTACTTGACATCTGGAGGTAAGATGAAGCCCCATATATATCTTTGGACAGATAATTGTGGAGGCCAAAATAAGAACAAGACAATAACAGTATATCTCTGCTGGTTAGTCCAATAGGGGTGGACAGACAGTATAGAGTTCTGCTTTCAAGTTAAAGGTCACGCTAGAAACTCAGTGGATCGTGGATTTGGAACAGCTAAGTACAATGCTTCAAGAAAGAATATCTGGACTCCATGGGACTATAGTGCAGCTGTGACAAGTTCTACCTCCAATGATATGATTAAACCAGTTAATTTCTTTGATAATAGAGCAGATCATGGGGTATTCTTTGATTGAGAAGAATTACTTAATTCACTCTTCAAGCTACTAAAAGGAATTCAAGGCTTTCATAACTTTCTTTTCCTTAAGGAATTCCCAGGTACCGTATTGGCAAAGAATCTTCCACTAGATGAGTGGAAGCGATTTGCTCTTACTAAGTCCGGGATAACATTAGAACAAATGAGTACTCTAGCACTAAGAGAGCTAGAGCCAATTGGTTTGAAGCCTGAGAAGCGATTTGATATATGGAGTAAGTACAGCTCTTATACTCTAGAGCATATTCAATCTACATGGCTATATACCAAGCCCTCACATGATATTATTCAACAAGCTCAGTTAGTCAAAGTTGGAAGAATCAAGCAATCAGGTAATGTAACTACATTCCACTCAGGGCCAACTACCAGAACCATAGAAGACATAGGAGATAAGCACAATGATAAAGCAGCTGTTTCAAGTATAGAAGGTGAGAGTTCAACTAATATTCCAAAGAGAAGAGGCCATCCACCTGGGTCTAAAAACAAAAAGGCAAGGAAAAGTATATAGTTTAGTTGGTTTTAAAAGGTTTAAGTTCATAGAATTGTAGTGGAAGTGTCAAACTAAATTGTACAGCATTCAAATAAATTATTGAATTTTTTTTGAGTGTATAGTAGTAGTTTAAAGTTTGTGTTATTATAAAACTAATGCTATCTCAAAATATTTTTTGCGGGTCACTCTGGTTGCCATGTACTTTTCTGCTAACAACAACTTTGCCCGAGAGTGGGTTTTCTACTGAGACAGGCTCATATTATCAACTTAAAACTTCCAATAGTAGTCTAAACTTAAACTTCGAGTGTCAACCAATGACTCTTGGCACCCAGCACAACCCGCTGACATAATAGCACCCACAGCCGACCCGAAAGCGAAGCAACCGCCAACAACCTCACCACCGCCACCTACCGGTGTCATACCCACCTTAACACACTTACCTTCACCACTACCTCCATCCCGCCTCACCCTCACACACAAAGCTCTCCGAACCACCCAAAAGCAATGGCATCTCGAGGCGGCGGCGGCGGTCGGCGCGTCCTCCTCCCACCAATCAACTTCATCTTCAAACTCTTGCAATCCCACGCAACGGTTCAAATATGGCTCTACGAGCAATTAGCCATCCGCATCGAGGGAAAGATCAGAGTACTACTACTACCCCTCCCTTCCCTCCCGCATCCACTCGCTAACATGGCTATCTCGTCTATAGGGCTTCGATGAGTTCATGAACCTCGTCATTGACGATGCGGTGGAGGTTAAGCTCAAGACTAAGGACGAAGAGGAGAGCCGGAGGGAATTAGGTTAGTTTGTTTTTATTTTACTCTTTTTTATCATTTCCGGTGGCAAATTGAAGCTGATGATGATGGTTGGGGAATCAGGGCAGATATTACTCAAAGGGGATAACGTTTCGTTGATACAGAGTCTGTAGTTTTGGTGCTGGAGAGGGCCGGCTGAGGATTGGGCGGGGATTTATGCGTTTCCTTTTTTATATATATACACTTCAGACGGCGTCAGTTGGATTGGGCCCGGTCCGACGGACGGGACGGGCCTCCGACGACAAAAATAATGAGAAACCCTTCTCAGTACCATGCATTCTTGTGCGCACCGCTACCTTTCAGATCCCATTCTTGGCCGAGACATGCATACCGTCGAAAGGGCTTCACATAGCAATGAGCAGCAAAATGCTCATGGATTTTCAGCAGTCTTTTATTCCTCGAATGACCCAAATATATATATATTTCAAAACAACCTGAAGCCTCCAGATACTCTTCCAATTTTTTCCCACCAAAAAAAATTACATCAACAGGGGTCTCCTCATGCATGAGGACTTAGGTAGCAGTTAGCAGAAAATACAAGTAGACCTAGGTGCAACAATAAGCAACAGGTGTATCATACAGTACTATACTCGTAGGTAGCCTAGCAACTAGTGACGGTGGAAAAAGTGGATTGCTCAAAATATTATAACTAGATTACGTTGGGAAACAACCTGACCTGGAAAGAGTCATGAAACGAGCTTTGGTCAGCAACCGCCTGCTACAATGCTTGCCACAAAATTAATTTTCTGCAAGTGAGCAGGAATTGTGGAATCTAGTTACTTGGGGATAATAGTCGAAGGCGGAGAAGCATCGAGAGGGCAATGTCAGATAGACTTGGATTTGATAGAATGAGAGGTGTGGTGGAAACTATTTTGGTAGGCAATCAATATAAATTTAAATATTTGGAAAATGGATTATAATAAGCATGATATAGTATCATACCCAGAAAAAGTCTTTTTGTTGGGGCTTTTTTGGCTTGACTTTCAGTATGATATAATATATCCTTGGTTGACAATGCCTCTATTTTAGCCCATCTGGCCACGGCCCCTCTCAATGCGGTTGTGCAATACACCAAGCAAACGAACAGGCCCACCGGAATAATCGAGAATCTCGCTAGGACGTTGGAGTTGCCTCTCCTAGTATGATATGATACCAGTATGATATCGTCTGTTGTATTTTTCTTTTATTTTTACCCCCAGCAAGGGAAATCCCTTCACCGTGCCTTCTCCCCGTGGCCCAAAAGGGAAACTCTACTGTACAATTCCTAGCGTCATTCTCAATCGTTCCAGTTTTTATGGTATGATAGTGGAGTAAATTTCTTCACGCAAAACAGAGTTACATATCTTTGCGGGACCGGGCGAGGCCTTTTGATCGTGAAGTAATGGTTTGCTTTTATCTATGAACACATCCAATTTTCAATATCCGTGTAGGTGCATGTCGCTCATCACTACTGCCTTTGGAATAACCCATTTACCCTCTACCGTCGGGGCATCCCTCTTCCCCTTCCTCTTAAAGCTCGCTGAGCTGCTCCACGAGGCATCTATAATATGGTTAGCAATCGTAAAGCAACCGATGGAAGGTTGTGATATACCGGAGGTCCAGATTGGGGTTGCTCTGATTCCTGGTTCTTGACAGTCTCGTCGACTGATAAAATTAAGCATGCAGCCTCGGTCGCTGCCTGTATAGCATTGACTTTAACCGCAGTAGGCTCCCAGACAAACCTTTCCAGGTTGTTGGCAATGCCCTCGTTAACAATGTCCACACCAGCCCAAGTCTCGCCTTTTCCATGACGCATCCGAAGCTTGTTGAGGATATCCGTAGCATCAAAGCCAGCATTGTCGCATAGCTGTCTCGGAATGATCTCAAGAGCCTTTGCAAAAGCGCCAATGATCAATTGCTGTTTACCAGCGATAGTGCGCGAGTACTCGCGGAGGTATTTTGAGAGCTCCATCTCAATAGCACCACCTCCGGCGACGATGTAATCGTTCTTGATTGCTTTCCTAACAATCATGATGGCGTCGTGAAGAGAACGCTCCACCTCTGCAATGAACTGCTCTGCTCCTCCACGGAGTACAAGTGTGCAAGTCTTTGCTTCTGGGCAGCCCTCGAAGAAATTGTAACGCTCACCACCGATCTGTCGCTCCTCAAAGTGCTCGCAGCTTCCCAGATGTTCCTCACGGATATCCGAGCAAGTGGATTGTATAGCACCACCAACAGCTTGGATGACACGGTCCATATCTTCAGAGGCAACTCGCCCAGCACAGAAGATATCTCTATCCGCAAAGTACCTGTGGAGAATCTCAGCAGTGTTTCGATATTACTCATTGTCCGACACCTCACGTACTGTGTTGCAAGATCACCTATAGGCAGTTTCGAGAGAACAATTTTAGCTCCTGTATTGGCCAAAGCCTCCATCTTCTGAAAAATTATTTGCCATTCCGCATCTACTACTGCCTGATATTCCGAAACCTGCTCTACTCGGACTTCGGCGTTGTCCTTCTCGCTCTCTATAGATAATGGTTAGTTCTGTCGTACATCGCGGAGATTCAGTAGACTCACTCAGCTCCAACTCAACATTTAAGCATACAATCTTTGGGTTCTTGAAAGATTTAGGTTGTTGTTCAAAACCGGCGTAAGAGAACTGCTAGAGTTAGTCATCATTGTGATACAAAGACGGCAGACTCACAGTCTTCTTAAATGCGACACCATTGACGAACAGTGAGTCTTGCAAACCGCCACCGGGAACCTTCTTGATACCAATAAGCTTCTCACTCAGTAATTCCTGGTCCAATGACATAACCGCATCAACGCACACTAGGCACCCCCATCAGCCACTACACACCACGAAGCCTATATACTCCAACTCGTCAGGGGTGAATATACTCTTCGAGAAGAAGCTCGAATTAGATTTGATCAACTTCGAAGACATGGCTGTTGTAGCCAGTTTCAACAAAGTATCGCGCCGGTCACCCTTCTCAATCCGTACTGCAATCTCCTTGATCTTATTCTCCGCCAGCCTAGCAGCAGTCCTGAAACCCTTGATAATAATCTGAGAGCTGACACCTTCTTCGATAAAGGTTTTGCTCTCTTTGAGTATTTCGCCAGCTAATACCACCACGGAGGTAGTTCCATCTCCAACCTCAGCATCCTGCGATCTTGCGATATCTGTCAATATCCTCGCAGCGGGGTGTACGATGTCCAATAGCTATATCCCAATATATCAGATAATTGGTGGCGGTAGGACTAATAGGACTCGGTCACAAACCTTCATCACGGTAGCTCCATCATTTGTAATGGTCTGCCTACCATTGGCATCAACTAATAGGAGATCACCGCCATAGGGGCCTAAAGTACTCTTGATGGTGCTCTGGACAGCCAGACACGCGTTGATGTTGGAAATTATTTGACCACGACCCTGTGATGCGTCGGTTCCTATTTGGTGGAACACCCCGGGTGTCAGTTTAATCGCCCCCTATGGAGGAAGGGAGTGAGTAGAAGATATATAAAGCCATCTCACCCTCCTTGAGCACAATGATTGTGGGTGTCTGCCCCGCAAATGCCATGATGTGGAGTTGTTTGCTTAGTGTACTAGATTACTGATGGTGGGGTTGCTGACGAGGGGGAAATGGATGGCTTTCTAGCCTGAGAGGTGGTTCGAGGTAAGCGAAACTATACACCAAGCATATGATTGCGGGGGAATTGTGGTAGCCAACCCACTAATGATGGTATGATCGCGGGATCTGTCGCTTGGATAATGGGGGGTAGTAATTGGTGAGGCAAAAGATTTGTGGGTTAACTTGAGAGCCTCTCCTAACTTTTTTCTCTACCCTAGCCCTATAATGACGCTTGGCGTCGGTACGATCTGGAAACCCTTATCCCCAGTAGGGCATCCCAGATATCAATGATGGAATTAGCACAAGTTATCATATCTTATCACACTATACTACAAATTCCAAGTTACTCTACAGTACAGTAAGTGACGCATATACCGGTAGTGGCAACTAGGATTTGAAGAAAGTAAAATAATCGAGCAGAAGTGCACCGCAGTTATCAGATTCGGTTCTACTTCCCCCTGAGCCATACCTGGCTCCCAGAGCGAATCCAAAGTATCATAACCCACCCCACATACCACGTCCTTGATATGCCACAAAAATATCACTTTTGTTTCCAACAAACTCCAGCAAACACCTTGCCCACACCCCACGAACAAGATCCCAGGCCGAGTAAGCCGTCAGAAAGGGGAGGGGCAACTCTCCATAACCTATAGGTAAGTTAGAAAAGCGTGTTGCGAAGGCAATACCGCCTAGTCAGGTAGGAGGAAAACAAAGCAGCAAAGATCTAGCCGTCGGAACTCGACTTATTAGAGAAAGAGAGAAAGAACCCAAATTCTCTGGGTCCTGAGCCCACAACCCACCAAACACTTGCTTTAATCTCAGGCTAGAAGAATGAAAAGAAGAAATGAATAAGAAATATAATAAGCGGGGATAAGCGGTAACAAAAAACGGAAGAAAATAAATCCGGCCTATAAACCGAGATGAACAAGAAACCCTCAATCACGCTCCAGGAGTTTCCACCATATGGCCATCCCTAGGCCCTGAGAGCCATGCGAAAAGAAGGGACCGGGTAAAATAACCGCAAAGGAAACAAAACCAAAAGCTCGGCCAAATAGCCTACCAAATCAAGGAATGAAGGCGGACAGCTAAGTCCCACCTCCATTGCCCAAACTGCTATGAGAGGCCGAGACTGGCTCCTCCGCCGCCGCTGCTTCTTGCACCTGCGCCTCCTCCGCCGGCCCCATTTGCTCCCCTTCCTCCACTGACATGACTACTGGTGTCTTCCAGGTAAGCCTCAGTCTGTACCTGCTGACTATGTCTCTGGGGCTTCAAAGCCGGTGTATGGGCCACACTAGCAAGTGGGGTATTGTCGCTTTGGGTACCTTGAGAATCGGTGGCGCTAGGAGGGGGTGGTGGGGGTGCAGTCCCAGAATTGATACCGTGATGCACACCGTTACTATAACCACTTTTCTTGCCAGATCCATTTTTGCCAGAATTTTTCTTTCCCTTTTGTTTTGCTTTCTCCAGCAAGCGCCTTTTCTCAGCTAGCTTTCGTCGTTCCTTGCGGTCCTTGATTTCATACTGCCGCATAAGGGCCTCTGGAGCCTCGCCGAATATAGATTCATATTCGCAAAATTCGCAAATCCAAATTTCGCCATTACTATTTCCCCCGCCCAAAGCCTCCTGACGGCGGCGTCTCAATAGGGCATAATCCTGTCTCGAAGTAGCAGCGGGCCTAGTTTTCCCGGACTTTTTTTTAACTTGTTGTGGGGCGGGAGGATAATTTGCATTCGTATCTGATATGCTTGGGGAGGTCTGAGTGCCCACAGTATGCATGGACTTTGGGTACCCAGAACTGTCACCCGGTGTATTTGCATTCGTGGACTTATTACCTGTAGAGGAAAATGCTAGGCTTGCTGACACTGGTGACTCGCAGACAAAAGTAAATTGAGTTTGTTTTGGCGGTCCTACACCTGCCGCTGCTCCAGCATTACGACGACTGCCTTTCAAGGGTGTGACAGGATCAACACTGGAGGGTCGTCTATCCGGAAGCCTCTGAGTAAAGGTCTCTACCGAAGGAGAAGATGGATAACGTCTACCAGCCCTTCTCAAAGAGCCCTGGCTTCCGGTAGATATGGTAGACAATGGAGAGCGCTGAGATGACCCACTAGGCTTCCAACGATTTCGAGGAGTTGGCGTGGACGCGGGTGAAAACCCCGGTGATGAATGGGAACCACCACCTCCTCCTCCGTTACCCCCACTACTGCCTCCAGGATTCGCCGGCGTCGGTATCTTCCTTTTCTTTTTGTTGTTGGTGTTTTCTGACCATTCATAAGAATCTGGCTGACCCGGCGTGTTCTCCGAAGCTCCCGAAACCCCGCTACCGACCCCACGCGACACAGATGCATTAGAGTTGTCCTCCTCATCTGAGGAATCCAGAAGATTATCCCCTGCACTATGCTGTCCCAAACCAAATCCGGCAGAAACACTAGCTCCACCAATGGCTTGATCACCAGCGTAATTGTTATAGGGAAAGTAGAATAGTGGGGTGGTGGGCTGTTGAGGGGGGCCAAACAAAGCGGCATTGGCATCGTCGGACAATCGGGAACGAAGTCGGCGTTTCGGAAGAGGTCTGATGGGCCTCCCATGGACCAAACTATAGCTAGTATCTGTTGTTCCCCACAAAATATTTATTTGAGTCCAGTACTTCCTTTGTATTGATAGGTAGAATTGCTGCAACAAGCATATCTGGGGAGGAATGGGATTAAGTGTAGAGGGGTCCTGCAAGAGGAGGAGCGGGAAAAGGATAGATGGGGATATTCCGTACCCACAGCGGCCGACATATTGGCGATAGATGAGCCGACAATTCACAGTCCGTGTCCACGCAATTGTATATCGACCAAAAAAACGTCTTGGAAAGTAGGTACTTGAGGTGACCTGTATGGAAGTGCAAGAACTTGTCAGTCATGGACACCAACAGAAGAAAAAAATTATGAGATCACGTATGCGATAGGAATACGCATGCCATCGTTCATCTATATGTAGAGAAAGAAGAAAAAAATATGTCCAAGAATATGGAGGAGGGGAACTTGCCTTTCGAAATGAGAGGGGCAAATTCAAAGATGGTTAGAACACCAGGCAAACGAAGTGGAAGCTAAGACTCAAGAAAGATGGATGGATAACAGTAGATTGCAGTCAACAGAGAAGATGTAGCTGCAGGGAAAGATGATACAGCAGAAAGAAAGAAAGTAGGGAATATGTGAGAGACTGACGTGGGGTCTCTCCAAAGCGTAGTGAGTTGAGTTGAGTGGTGAGGTGGGACCTGCTGGTTGGAGTCTCTCTAGGTTTTGGTCTCGGCACTAAATTTACTTGATTGGGCAAACTGCTCCCACACTCCCCCCCTCTTAAAAACCACAGCCCAGTGGTATCCACCGAAGGCCATCTGGCCATCTTCTCCCTTAAATTCTTAATTTTTGATTGACGCATCATACTGTACCATTCGGCTTTGCCAGAGGTTAAGCGGCCCCAGATCTTCATTTTCCGTCCTCTAATATTTGGACACAGTTGCTCCTTTTCTAATATTTCTCGAACTTGAATGCTTATGTTCCCACTGGAAAATTAGATCCCCACCTCCAAGCCATTCTAACAGCCGCAAGTTGACCACAACTCGGACATTACAAGGCTGAGTCTGGGCTACGGATTAATAGTCTACCCTTTGTCATGTGTCTAGAGATCCCCTCCCCTGGTGAACGCATTATAAGGATATTGTATCCAGTGCATTGTTCAGAGAATTTTTATTTTTTTTGCTTTACGTCCCCGAGCTTACAGAACGACACATGGGATTGCACCGTGCCTGGATTCCCACGACGTCTTATCTTATCGAGACCCAGGCTTCAGGTATCGGCGTCTGGGTGCACCGATGTAGTTGAGAACATAATTCCACTAAGATGAATGGGACCGTGTGGATTATTTCGGACTGCTGTTTCCCATCTTTACGAGGCCGTTTTTGACTTGTATGGTACACAGAGGCCGTTAGGTCTCCTCACACAACTTGCAGGAGCATCGAACTATCCAGTCGGAGTCAAACAACAGCAGGCACGCAGAAGAGCCTCGATAAATCCTTGTACCATATCCCAACCAACGGTTCTAAAGGGCAATATTAATTCGCACCCTCAGGCCTTATCGCGATGCAAAGGAACATATCAACAGATATATGAACTTTCAACCTCCAAAAATATGCTGGATTCTAGCATATAGTGAATTCTCGGGCCCTTTACCCACATCAGTCGGCACAAAACATCCCACATTCTCCAGCGTTATTTAGGGATTACTACCGGGACAACTGTCGAGATACGGTATGTAGCGATAAACACCATCGGAGGAAAAAGGAAGAAAAAGTGTCGGATCTCAGGGCCAGGAACGGAGGGTTTGTAAAGGCAAGAGAGCTCGGTGGTGGACATACTGTGTTCGAAGAGGAAGGATGTCTAATGCCAAGAAATGCAATGTTTTTTTCTTTCCTTCTTCCCCCCATAATAGGAGCAACACACAAGTTGTCATCACCAAATTAGGTCTCGTTATGAGTTGATTTGAGACTCCCTCTCAGAGCCGCTTTTCCCAATTGTTCTATGATACCCTCCCTTCCTCCCAGCTCCAACCCAAGTTCCGATGACCTAAATTTACGTTTCGCTCCTACCCCTCCACCAAAGGGCAAGAAAAAAGAAGGGCCACAGCCGTGACTACCGTACCAGGCCCGAATAAATCGTTATTCAGACCCCACTTTCCAAACTTTCAACAACTCCCTCACCAGAAACGTCTCTTATCGAGAAATGTCATGATAATAGAGGAAAGGAAAAGAGACGGTTTTTTTTTTGTTTCGTTTCTTCATTGGTTAAGCTTCGGAGACCCTGCGCCGGAAAAAACAACGGTACACCGGCTGAGAAGGCGAAGAGGGGTGGATAACTGGCGGTTGCTGCTGTTGCTGCTGTTGCTGCTCTCGCTGCTTTGGCTCTCCTGCTTCCCCCTTGAGATGAAGCCGTATTCTGACCCCACAACCCGCCGTTCACAGAGCGGATATCAAAAAACATGTTGAGAATGCCGTATTAATGGGCACGGTGATGATCGTAGGCGAACAGTGAGTCCATCTGTATCCACGCGAGAAGCCTTCTCCCCGATAATTGACATTTCGTTGCATTTCTTGCAGGGTCACAGTAGTCATCTTTCATTGGTGGAAAATGAGGCTGCAGGGTGCCACTTTCGGGCTAGCGCGGTCGCGCGCCCACTTTGCTTCTAAGTTATGGCCGCAGTTAGTTCCCTGTGCTGCCTTTCTGTGTGTTCTTGTCCGGCCTCTCTCATCCTCTCCCGGAGTTTCTCAGTCAATCAGTCAGTCAGTCCGCCAGTCTCTCCCTCCCTCCCTCCTTCCCCCTCGTCACTCTCACCCTCCTCTTTCCGCCTCTTCTTTTCTCCCCTCCTTTGCCCTTTTTACTCCTGCTTCTTTCTCAACACAAAGTTATTCCCACCGCCCCCCCGTCTGACGCTCCCCTAAGGACTCTTACACACTTGCCCGCTTCCCCCTCACGCCTATCCATGAAACTGTTGCTCACTCGTCCCCCCTCCTCTGTGGCCTTTCTTCTATTCAGTATTCCACCATAATTCGTTGTCTTCTTACTCACCCCACCTCGTTCTCGGAGTTCCTAATTGCCAGTCTTCTAGCTCAATCTCTGCTATTGTCCACTACACACTCGGGGCTTCTCTTCGCCAGCTTTTTGCTCGGTTTTTACTCTCCCCTTTCCCACTTCATCCCCCCCCTCACCCCCCATCTCCCATTCCTCTACCTTCACCTCGCCCTCACCTTTTACGAGCCAGCAATCATGGTCTCTCCTCGCCGCTCTTCCCGCGCGCGCTCTACAGCAAATCCAGCGCCAGTTTCTCACTCATCCTCCTCCTCATCGACCTCATCGAATCGTGGCCGCCTCCAAAAGCACCACGAAAATGACTCTCATGGCGACCACGAAATGGGCCACTCCAGGCGTGGAGACCAAGGAGAGATTCCTTTCGAATCTCGTCTAGAATCCACTGCAGAGGTCAACGGTACAGGCGATGAAGAGATTGACGATGCAGGATCACAGGAAGACGAAGTCACACGTTGTATTTGCGGTCATCAGGAGTACCAGGCTGGTGATGACGATCAGGCCGATTCGGACGGTCTCTTCATTCAGTGTGACCAGTGCCATGTTTGGCAACACGGTTTTTGCGTAGGAATCACTGACAGTGCGTCCACTCCAGAAAACTACTATTGTGAGCGATGTAAGCCCGAATTGCACAAGCTGGGGACCAGTAAATCTGGGTAAGTTCACGTTCCCATCCCTGTGAAGGAGATTTTCTCTGGGCTGAGGCTTTTAACGAGCCTCGATCATGAGGAAGCTGTTATGGAGTTCTCTTGCTTGATGGATTCTAACTAGATTACAATAGAATGAGAACATCCCTTTATTTGCCAGTCCACTCAGAGCCGTCATCACCCCTAAATAACAAGGAAATTCCTCACAAGCGTCGGACTACCATGAACTCTCGTGATGCCGAATATGATGACGCTATCCTCAAAAAAGTTTTAGAGGAAAGCAAGAACGACAAACTTTCTGGGAGTTCGACACGTGGAACCAGTTCAAGAAGCCGAAAACGAGGTACCAGTGAAGGCTCCGACGAGTATGTATACCTTTGCTCATTCTAGATTTTCCCTAGACAAACGAAATGACTAAGAATCATTTAGACCAAAGCAGGATTCGAAACGACGAAGAACCTCGGATTCACCAGACACTCCAACCAATGGGCCCATCGAATCAAGTGATGAAAAACCTGGGAAAGGAATTACAGCCCCCTGTTCGACCAAAAAGTCGCGAGGCGCATCCTCTCGTCATTCGAACGTAAATTTATCTGCTGCAGGGAAACGTACCTCGACTAGAAACAGGAACGGAGATAAGGGTAAGGAAGCTAGAAAAGAAGGTACGTGGCTTAACGTCGGGCCAAAATCTCACCCTCGGGCACAATATTGTCGACTGCTGTTAAAGAAGGGACAACATGACCTGACCATGATTTATCAAATACAGAATCAGAACATTCAGACGAGTACCCTCCTCCACGTTCCAACAATCGGGCAACAAACAAGCCTATAGAAGAAGTTATCCTCCCACCACCCACCGTGCAGACTGCGCCAGATACCCCCCAACAGCCGGCCAAACGGTCTGCTCGCAACGGGAACACCAGTGGGCATGGCGGACGTCGCCGTGTAAACCATCGCCATCGCCAGTCAGAAGATCCAGGTGATAATGGTGGAGCTTCTCCTCATGTCATGACTCGAGATCATTCTTCTGCTGGGGGCAATCAGGGTTCAAAACCCATGGACCACGGCACCATCATTGATAAGCCAACTAAGCCGAGAATTCCGCAAGCAAGAATGAGCATAAACGAGATGGGAAGGCGGGTTCGCGGCATCTCGGACTTCATCACTCGAACCCAGATTGAGATGGCAAGTTCAAGAGCAAGTGACATCTATGCCTACTTGGCTTGGATGGAAGAGAAGGGAACACCCGTCAGCAATGCCACTACGCCGCAAAATCCAGAAACACCAACATCGTCTTCTTCTGGTGACAAAACCCTTCCACAGATTCAAATCAACGGCAATGGAACTGGGAAGATATTAGAAGAGGCAGCTGAGGCCCTGAGTTCAAACATCCAACCGGGAGCCCTTGAGATGATGGAGCTTTTATCAAGTAAAATTAATCGGTGGCAGCAGCAGTACGGAGAGAAGGCGTAATCCAAATTCCTTTATGTCGCTCTCTCGGTCTGTATCTCCTTTCTCATTTTTTGCCGGATTTGTTCATTGCTCGGTGTCACGGGGGTTTATTATCTGAAAATTAATCGGTTCCTGTGTTGTCCATTCACACTCATTCCCCTTCATTCACACCATTTACTTTTTGTGACACGGAAAATGGGATGGAGTCTTTATGTTTTTTTACCTATTTGATCCCCTTTGCACCATCGCTTCATGGCGTTTCCATCTCTTTTATCTCCCTTTCTGGTTGGCGTTCGCGTTTATTGGAGCCCTCTGTATCCGGATCATGCATTTCCAGGTTAGCGGAAACCTGTGGTACAAAAGTTAACGAAAAAGGGGGAACATTTCACCTTATAGCTATACCTTCTTATATTTTCTCTTCTGGAAGCTTTCATTGTGGATTTTTTATCTCCTTGCCCCCTTTTCCCTCCCCCCTCTTTGTGTCAAGTTGGTCAGAGAGGCGGGGAGAAATACAGTAAATATGGGATTCCCTTTTCGTTTTCTCACTGTCCGAAATGGCATTTTTCTCCCTTTCTCCCCATATATAATGCCCCTCTTTCCCTCTCTCTCTCTTATGTCATTCCCCCGGACCGGTGTTTCCCCATTTCATTTCCTCGATTGGTTTGGTCGGGGTTTTCGATTCTTTTATTGTCATCTATGATTGTTCATGTTAAATAGTTATTTTTTTCCCCCGATTGCGATTGTCCAAAAAAAAAAAATTTCAAGTCACTATAAGTTATGATTGCTGTTGCAGTATCCAAAAATAACCCAACCGAAGCGTCCAAGACCCCCAATCATGGTTCCAACCCCGACTGTTGGGATGTGATAGATGCTAGGTCGGGTGGGCGGGCGGTCTTCACCGTGCCTGTGGGGCTTCTCGGCGAAGAAATGCGAAAAGGGAGAAGGAAGGAAGGAAGGAACTCTGCGAGTCGCATACTTGGTGCGAGTTGGGGGAGGGGTTGGGCTTTGAAAAGACGAGGAACGGAAGAAATAAAGAGAGAGGGAGAACGGAAAGAAAAAGCAGCCGACCGACTGAGACGCACATTGGCACTAACATGACATCAGGTTATTAACTTTTAACCTAAACCTCGCAATAACCTACCATCCAAGAAAAGCAAAGGAACCAAAATTACAACACGGTATGCACGAGTTTGCGATACGGTACTGTACGTACCGATACCGGAAAAGTTTTCGCTATGACAATACCGGTACCTCCCTATGCCTGTATATTTACCACCTAACTAATTATCCACCAATACAGTATAGTACGAGTACAAAATTACCGCCTAAGAATCCAAACAACAACTCCAGACAAAGCAAGATATGAAAAAAAAAAACGGCAACAAGCAGCGCCATCTGCCCAACCCCCTCCTCCCTTCTATGGTACCGGTACCCGAGTATGCATCTTATGGTGCCATTCATACCACCCCCCGTCGGCCCGACAACGCCAACTCAACTTTCCTTAGTCACCAACCGAGACCAAAAGATTAGAGAAAGGAAAAAAAAGCCCCCCCCCAAAAAAAAATTCTTTTTTTAAAACCCACAAATTACCCCGCCCAGAAGGACTTGGCAGACGTCAATTTTGCCGTTGCTGGTGTTGCGTTGCGGTTCGCGAAAATGGGGTGGGTGGGTGGAGAGAGGGAAGGGAAGGAAGGGATTGTTGCACTTTCCAGGAGTGACCCCCCGCGTTCGGGTAGTTTATTCATGCAGGGTTGGTGAGTGGGGTGGGGTTGGTCGTTGGTGAGTGAGTGAGGGGAGAAGTGAAGTGAAGGGGAGTGTAGGATAAAGGGTGAGGCGCGGTTAGAGTATTCGGTGTCCGGAGTTTTTTTTTTATGGCTGTAAAGATGTAGGGTACTCGTAGTGAGTTATGTCAATAGGTACGGTTCTAGGTGGTAACCTAAATTACTTAAACCGACTCGCTAGCTAGTATCAGGTGTCTTACCTCCTAATCTAAATCCCCACCCAAACTTCTGTTCTGCAAAAACTGTATAAAAAGAGCTCAATATCATATTTCAAGAATACCTTTCTCCATAACATACCAAACCAAACCAAATAACCACAGACTCCCCTTTCCCCGGACCTTTCTAAACTACAATACATGACTGACTGGACTACATGATTTATATTTGTCTTCCCTTCCCCATCCGTTCCCTCGCCCTTTCCCTCCTTTCTTTCCGTCTTTGTCGACACATTTTCATATTCTCATGCTTTTCTGTTTTTTTCTTCCGCTTTTTGTTTGTTCGGCCGGACCCGTAAAGATCAGATACTAAGTGCACCCATTTTTGATCTGCTGCAGTGCGGGCTGGAAAGTATTGAGGTGAAGAAACAGGTAGAGATGTGGGGAGATATTAGGACATGGGGTTAATGCGAGGAATTGCACTACTGAAAAGAAAGAGAATCATTGACAATATAAAAAAACACTCCAAAACCTGTGAGATATAAAATCTCATTGGTAGTAGGGAGAGCAAGTAACATGCGTGAAGTTCATCAAATACCGCACAAACATGAGGATCCTGCAGAAGGGGGACGAGAAAAAAAGCTATTGTTCAAAACAATTCAGAACATGAGCAGCAAGTTAATTGGCGGGAAAAAAACCTCAATTAATGAAAAACCAGTTCCACACCAGCCCAATGACACCCAATACAGAAAGAAAACAATTGAAATGAAAAACCCAACCCGTTCAGAACAAATCACCAATTGCACCTAACCCGTTCTTTTTGAGTACCAACGCTTTTTTTTGTGCTTCGTCGTTATCCCGTAGATGCTGAGATTTTTTCGATTCCCGGATGCGATCCCTCCGAGCGTCCCGTAAACCCCAGGGTCGCAAAGCCGCTTTTAATGAGAAAAGAATCAAAGGAAACAAAGACAAAAACAAAACCCAACCCCACAGCCATATGCCAACATTTTTTGTACGTACGTCAACCCCACCACCCCCACCCAAAGCCAGTATGCCCCATCTTTTCGAACAAAACCCAAACCCCGAAGTTTAAACCCGCAAAGCTCGAAAACCTCTTCCCCATGACAATCTCGATCTTCGCCTGAAGAAATGTAGGGAGAAAAAAAAGAACAACCATTTTAAATGACTTCGCCGTTGATAGAAAACCCCTCTGCCCACGTTTAGGTATCCATACCCCGACCCAGAAAAGAAAAAAAAAAACAAATTACAAGACTTAAAAAACTTAAAAAATCAGTTTAAACAGGCCCTCCCAAGACACAGCGCCCCGAAGCATCAAGAATAAACACCCTTTAACATAAGAAAGCCCAGCTATGTAAACATTAAATACTTACCCCCAAACGCTAAGACCCTTGGTCCCGGAGCCCCAAACTTTGCTCCAGCCAAGTCCATCACCCTGACCATTTGGGGCAGAGTTGTTAGAAGGTGCGGGTGAAGATCTCTCCTTATTAACATTGCTGTTGTTAAAGGGATCATTCTCCTGCTGTAAGTTATAACGCGGTGAATTTAGGGGCGGACTGGCCCGCTTGCTGTTGTTAGCGACGCCACTTTGATTCTGAGCGTTTGGACGTGTCCCAATAGGCGCAACACCTGAAGAGGTCACAGGAGTGGTAGATATTCTCTGGGAACGAGGGGGCGAGCCACCCGGTGAAGACGCAGAAGTACGACTAGACTGTGCCTGAGCATTATCAAATAGACTAAACGATGCAGACTTTGATGAAGGTGAAGAAGCACTATTAGTCCGGGATCGTATAGGTGGTGATATGGCATTTCCAGTCTGGCTTTGATCCCCGGAGGTCTGGACGGCATTAGAGTCGATCCTTCCGTTCTGATGACCGAATGGGTCAAATGCAGACGACATAGGGGAAGGCCCGCGTGTACCGCCGGCGTTGGAACCTGGCGCAGAAGGCCCGTTCGAGTTGGGGTTAGTTCCTCTGGGTGGGTTACCCTCGTCCAAAGGAACACCGTCTTCTGAATGAGATCCTTCAGAATGACCGCTTGTATAAAGGGCACGGTGCTGGCGGGCGATTAACTCACGCCTCTCATCCTCGCTCATAGCGCCAGGGCTCATAACACGATCTTTGCCGTAACCAGAAACTTCGGCCAGGAGTGCTAGAGGACCTTTATAAGTTGGGTCTCTCGCAAGATTAGGAGATTTCGAAGACATACTCCTATTATACTGCTGCTCCTGATGATAGTTGCGTAAATCACGCTCCCGCTGAGCCGCTAATCTCCGCTTCGCTTGCATCATCTGTTCGGCTTCCGTCGGGCGGGGCTGAAAACGCTGGGTGGCGTAAAAATTCTGCAAGTTCGCAGCAGACTGAGAACGCATCACGTCAAACTCCTGAACAGAGTAATGACGGGAAGGCATGGGTGCAACCATACGTGCATCTAATCAAACCAAGCAGGGAAACAAGTTAGCTTAAAATTCCCCGGGGAAGAAAACCCGGGACGAAACCAAAAAAAAAAAAAAAAAAAAAAGGTTAACCAGGTTATCTCACCATGCTCAACCGGGAATCCACGAGGGCCCATGACCGGGAGAGAGTCGCGGCGTTGCGGTGCAAACATTTTACCGCTCTTCACAAGATTATCAACCGCTCGGTCAACCTCTGAAATTACAAACTAAAATTAGTATCGTGGCCAATGGGTCAGGGTTTGGTAACACGGGACAGGTAATCACCATCGAGCTGAGAACCAAAAGCAGATGGATCCTCTGGCTTCATGGACGCAGTGTATCGAACAGTTAAATCCGAGGGGTCGGAGGCGTGGGATCGTGGAAAATGCGCTTGAACAGGAGTCGAGCCGGCAGCCCTCGGGTCCCAGTTGGGACGGTTGGATTGATTTTGCCAGGAGGTTTGAGACTCATAATAAGACATGATTGTGTTCTTCGGGTAGTGGTGATAGTGCAAGGATCAAAAAGTCGAGCAACCGCGTGCTTTAAACAAAGCCTAGGACAATCAAAGTGAGGAAGGTGGGATGGATTTGTTTTCCCTTAAAAGAACGTTCGATCCTGCTGTGATGCTAAGGTGGCAAGATATGTTAGCGATCGGTTCATATCCTTGGTTTCCGGAAAGTGCTAGTATTCGAGCATTGAATAAAACGAGGGGATAAAGATTATCATATAGATAAACTTTTTATTTTATTTTTCTATTGGGGGGGATATAAGTGTGGACCTAAACAGGAGCAACGTGGAGCAGACCGACGACATTGCAAGATGAAAATAAAAATAAAAATGGACGTACCACAGGCAGACTGTATAAGTGTCGATGAGGAACACGCAGTAGCAGACGTTGCAGAATATTCTGCTGCCTAGCGAACGAGAGAAGGATCGGGAGGGGAAGGGAGAGGATGAAAGAGAAAAGAAGAGGAGGAAGCCGAGAAGGAGGATAGAGGGAAGAAGGATAGATGGAGGAAAGAGAGTTCTTGTGCCGTTGGCAGAGAAGCAGAGCGAGGGGACGGGGGGGTTGGGTGTTGAAGGCGAAAAGAGTCCGGGCTTGGGGGTTGGTTCTTTGGGGGGTTCAACTAGTGACGACGGGGTGCGGGAAAAGGGCAAGGGAAAGGCCCGTGAGCTGCACCAGCAAGTGGACAAAAAGACGGTCGAGGAAAGTAAAAGGGAGTGAAGGGAGAAAAGGGAACAAAATACAGTATCAAGAAGGGTAACGGAGGAAAATGCGAAAAAAGAAAAAGTCGAAAAAAATCCTCCACAATAGATACTAGTACGAAGAAAGAAAAAGTCTACCAATATACCCTAAAAAGGTAATAATCTGCCCAAACCTAGTCACAGTATGCTAGCAAAGTAGAAAATTTAGGTAATAAAATAAAATGAAATAATGATGACAAGAACTTTCTGCTGCGAAACCGAAGTCGACACAACAACGGAGGCAACCAACTCTCTAAGCCAGAATGATACCTTGTAAGGAGAGATAGACAGAAAAGAGAAACGAGGACCACGACAATAAAATTGTAAAAAGGCTCTCGGGCTTAGTCGCGGGATGTGGGGGATGGAGGAGGATATCGCTCCACGCCCACCAGCACTTTGGTGCCCGCTGCAGCCCCCGAATTCGAATGCCAAACTCTCGATTGGCTAAATTTGGGCTTAAAAGTACTGTGCTGTGACCAACCCATGCCACTGAGCGGGCTGGTTTGGGCAGGTTCTGAGGTTCTGTTATGACTGTCGCCCTTTTTTTAAAAAAACAATCTTTCATGCAGCCATGGGTACTGTACTCGAGTACACTTTATCTGCTTCGAGCAAACTGAGTTTTTCACCCTTCACCTTAGCAAGGAATGAGATAATAACACCTAACCTGTCGAAATAATTGATTGCCAGTGCTGTACTCGAGTGCCGGTATCCTTCCTCTCTTATTATTCCTCTTCCTGCTCTCCGCTGGGATCCCTAATAGGACCTAACAGAGACTTCAATAAGGATAGCCATGGTGGAGAGACATTGCACCAACGGTGTCTCCAACGACAAATACGGTACGGAACCACCACTGAAGTTGATCTTGCACCCGGGGGGACTCGTTCAAAATCCATCCACATCTCCGATTCACCAAGACCTGGAAGAAATTTCTGTGATCCAAGCGGATGGAACATTCTACGGAACCTTCTGAGAAGACTGCCAGCAACTTGAACAATACTCGAGTAATACTGTAACCAGCAAAGATTGAGAAATCGATTGGTCAAGCAAGAATCTCCGTAGCGTGGCTTTTTAGGTACGGACAACAACGTATCGAATCATCGATCTGGTTTTCCTGTCCTGTGCTGTGGAGACTCAACTACCGGTACGGTATGATACTGTGCCTGAACTCCGTAGAGAGAGGGCAGAGGGTAGGTTACTCGTAGAGAGCTGGAGTCAGGATTTGGCTCAAGACCTCTTCTGCCAATGCGGTGCACCCCTTTGCATTTTGTGTAAGTTAACTTACCCGTGGAAGGGGCACTCGAGCACAAGTTTGGTGGTGCAGCTGCATGTGGTGAAGCAATATCATATTTCGGCACACATGTGTTGTGCCCGAGCAACTCCACAACAAAAACCCAGGACACGCCCGAAATTAGGATGGGAAAAGAAGTTGAATTTGACCTGTTTCACCTTCAGAGGGATAGGGTCTAACCCGATACGCTCCCCCAAGTAACCAATCACTCGCATTGGGATGACAGTAATCAAAAGGCTAGGCAAAAGGAAATAACAAAAGATTATGTCGTACCGCTATCCTAATAAAATCGTCTGTATATATGATATGATACCAGTGTGATAGGGCAAATTCGTTCCTTCATGCTTGTATCATACTAGGGGTTTAAAATTTGGCAGCTTTCCAGAAAACGAAAGAAATGAGAAAGGAAAGCAACACTCCACCCTCAATATATTCCTCGTTAGGGTGCAACACCATGAGGATATCTCGAGTACGAGTATCTGCACGATATTACTATCACACTGTGCTGGTGACTCCCCCCAGAAAAGAAAAGAAAAAAATTCTCTCACGCAATTGATACACCCGGCATCCTGGCCAGGATGGAGAGCAACCGACCGAACCCCAACCCAAGGTTGAACCGGCAGCCCGCACCCGTATCCCCCGCTGACACCTTCACCAACAACGGGAGGCCTCCCAAGAATTCACTCTCGAACCGCCGGGGAGTGCGATGCCGGGGCTCACATGAGTACCGGTATTGGGGGTGAAATGAAGTTTTGCTACACCAAGTTTAGTCCCATCCTTCCTCCTCCACCCCCCCTTGATGAAAAATGTCCCGCTTCATCTTTTTCGCGAACCAATTGATATCCAAACGACTGTGTTAAACCCCCCAATCGATACAAGCGTGGTCGCGGTGGATCTTTTTCCCAGCCGCAGCAGCGTACAAGTAAAGGAGAACACAACAGGCAACAGGAAAAGAAAAGAAAGAAAGAAAGTCCAGATGGAACACCGCTTGGAGGAGAAACAAAAAGAAAAGTTCGAACTTGCCGATCTCGTGTGTGACGCCATATCAAGCCCCAGAAGGAGTGGGAGGAAAAGGAAAGAAGAAACAGCTTTTCATTTTTTTCGCGGGGGTGGTAACACTGGGAGGAGGGGAGGGGTAGAGGGCAGCAAAGCAGCAAAAGCGAGCGTCGCGACTAGAGGAAGGAAGGTTTCGGGATCAGTCGATCTATGGATTTACGTGATTGTTGTTTGTAGGCGAGGGAAGGAAGATACAGTACCGGTATCAATTTTCTTTCCTTTTTCTTTTTGCCGGCCAAATTTCAATTCACCAGACGACCTCTACTCGAGTAGAAACCACTGAATACCGCACACCCCCCATTCCAACAGACCGGAAGCAAAGCAAAATGATACTTGTCTCTACCGCCTGCAGTGCATACGGTACTTCCCTCCGTACACACAGCAATCCATCAGCAGTGCCATTCACAAACTATCACCCCCCCCTCAATTTCCGCTATTCCCAAACCAAGGATCCACAGGGGAAAGGGAGAGTTGAAAGAATAGTCTACCGTTCGGTACCGGTAGTCTACTCGACTACAAGCAGGAGGAGCAAACAAGACCAGACCAGCCAGACCAAAAAAAAAAAAAAAAAATGATCCCCTTTCCCAGAAGAGGAATCTGACAACAAATCCACACACATATCCAAACCAGGAAGGACTAACCAGTTCGAAGCAGTGGCCAGTACCTTGATAATTCCCCGGAGAAAGAGGGGAGAAGAAGGGCCTGAGTTTTACCGAAATGTGCTGTCACGTGAACAGCCTCCCATCTCTCCTTCCTCACTCTCTCCCCTTCCTGTCTGCTGCCTGTCTGCCTGTCTGTGCTGATGAGCAGCCCCTCTCACAAGTGCTGACCGACAGGAAAGTAAAGCAATCAACAATAATACCGGTATGGCATTCCACACCTAACCCTACATTCACTGCAAGAGTGACCCTGCCTCACTCACATATGATACCCCGTACACTGACTCTGCTCATTGCACTCGAGTAGACTACCCACCTGTCCGCCTACTATTTACCTGTGCTCTTGGATGCTTGTATTCACATCAATTCATCCATCGTCCTTCTTTCCCACCCTTCGTACTCTCACAACACCGGTACGGCCCAAGTATTCCTGTGTTCATCAATAAGAACCCCACCATATTCAAGCACCTGTATCGCACGACACCCGCCGACCACAAACGACGCACCGTACTCACTCCCTTCCACCGCCGCCGAGGGCAAGCCCAGCTCCATGATACCCTCCCCCTCCCCCCTTCTGATCCTTAATCCCACTGAAACCTCCAAGATACCCTGACCCGCCCCACACCCACCCCCCTATCCGAAACTCGAATCGAAAAACAAAAAGAAAAAAGGCCAAAGAATTCGGTTCTCCCAAAGCCACCACCACCGGAAAAGCGCCGGGGCTTTACGAGTACCCGTACAAGTATTATGATTTAGGGGTTTATTCTTTAAACACCCCGCCTCTTCTTCCTTCTTATCAATAGTTTCTGGGATCAATTGAGGCATTGTATTCGAGTACAGTCGCACCTCGCTATCTCAGACGGTCAAAATCTGAAGAATCCGTCCGGGACAGCGAGGGATCCGGGACAACGAGCCAGGCTTTGCTGGAAGGAAATTCAAAGTTCACAGATTCATACGAGACAGCGAGGTATCCGGATTATCGAGATCCGGGACAGCGAGGTGTGACTGTACTCGGGTGCCTCTCTCGGTACTTTGCATACCCCTTTAACGACCCATGATCCCCCCACAACAATCGCGCCACCGATTTCCGAGTGATAATCCATGAACCTGTTACCGGGGCCTCGCGCTAAGACGCCCAATATCTACACCGAATAGGGGGGAACCGAGAACACCGAAAACAACCCCCCTCCAGCCGCTTAAGACAAAATTTAATAAAAAATAAAAAGAAGAAAAAAGTGCCGACCATACAGTACGAGTACCAGCAACGGCAACTCCAACACCCAAGCGCGGGGCTCAATCTCGAGTCCAGTACTCAGAGTACCGATACCCGACCACCCGCCCGTTCACAAGCAAACAGACAAAGTTGTCCCATCATTCACCCCCTCCAGTTTATTCCCTTCCATCCCTCGGTCGTGCTTTTGGGAAATGGGGAACAAACATTAGGGCAATAATATAAGGATGGGAGGGTTGGCGGATCGACCTTCTTGGAAGTCTTGGAAAACCTAACGGGTCGTCATTGGATATCACTCGGGCAGATTTGTTGATTGGGGGCAGCGATACGGGGAGGCGTACTTGAGTAGCAGTGTGCCGTTTTTGTGATACGGTATGGGAGGGTTGTCGTTATTGTGGGGGCTTTGGCAACGGCTAGGCTGTGGGAGAGAAAAGGTGGGAGGGAAGGGGGTATAGTACCGGTATTATTATTGTTGCTGTTGTTGGATGGATGGGGCTACAATCACCGGTTTGGCAGGATGGGATGGTAGAGGAGACATCTCGTGGCCATGGGACTGTTGGTTACCGGTATTAGGGAGATACGCGGTTTCCGGACGTGGGCGCATGTCCCCACTTAAGGGTTGGAAATATGCATCTTGCTAGCCATATGGGATCCAGCTCTGCTCCCACTAAACTAGACCGGATCTAGATTTTTCCAGGTTCTGATGTTCCGCGTACTCATAGTACATCCCATGGGTGCCCAACCAATTGATAGAGTAGCAATGCTGTGGAGGGTTGTCAAATGAGATGAGAATTGCAATACTAAATCATTATATTTACACATAACATCAGTATACATACATACACGCATGCGTACAAGCATTCCGTACATAGCATATAAAAGAGAACTCCGTGCCACCATAACCAGTACTCGTACTCGAGTACCGGTAGATGTACGAGTACAAGTACCCCAGAAAAAAGGAAAAAAGGAAGCCCCCAAAAGCCACAAAGTGATATCCCATGTCGTAAATCCGAAAGACCCTCCCCCCCAACCGACGGCCCATCTGCTCCCCTTGCTTTTTATCCCATCTCGGGGTGCCAGTTATGCCACGACAGTTAGCTTCGCCCCCAAGGAATATTCTATACACGTCTTGGATACAGTCTCCCTCCGGCAACTGCTTGGCAATTCATATCATCTTTAACAAACCTTCTCAGGCTCTCGAGGTGGTGTCCACGAGGAAGCTGAAGCTCTCCTGGCACGGTGAGGACCACCATTCTGGTTAACAGGCAGACCGTCCATCTCCCTGACAGATTCCCCGAAACAAACAGTCACACTTTCAGGGTCACCATGTCTCTTCAGGGATAATGAGTTTGCATACTGGCGTACGAGAATTGCAAAGAAGACTTGGATGATCGTAGTAGCTACTAGGGAAACCCAGCCAACCATGACCGAAATTCGCATCAACTCTATGCAACCCCAATTGCCATCCCATAGTGAGGCACTAACCCTATTTGGCCGGTCCGAAGATGTCTGGTGGAAGGTGCCGTGAGGTAGCGTCATCGACAATAACCCTCCGTCAATTCCCGAGTTGTCGTCACAGATATAGCCCCGGAAAGTTGAGAACACATATAGTATGATGGACCGTGACAGTGCTGATATTATGCTATCTATGATAAAGAAGTTGGCAAATATCGACAAAGCGTAGGCATGTTGCTAAGAAAAAGGTTAACGAACGGAGAAATCGGAATGGCTAGAATAAAGAACGTACGTACCTTGGTAGATCCCAGGACGCCCAGAGCACTAACGAAAGTTGCAAAGTAACTGTAAAAAACAAGGCTGTCCGAACTTTGGTAAAGCTTATTGGAGAATTGTTGGAATAAACAGGCGGAGAGGCCATTTGAGATCAGTGCTAGAACGGTGATGGCGATCGTAAAACACCTACTATTGTTAGTGTCTGAAGGTATGTTTTGGAAGGGGATACGGTACCCACCGAAGCTGACTCAACCCCATTTCGTAACTATTAGGAAGGGAGGGGGGGTACAGTAAGGAAAAATAATGACCCAAAAAAGGACGTCCAAAAAACAATGTGCTACCCGCTGACTAGAGAGAAGAACGAGCCGAACTTGCAATCAAACACAACACAAAAGAGAGAAAGAAATCCTTCGACGACGACAGATATTAACCCGCTATTATTGGGTTTAATCTACGGAAGATGAACTTGAAGGTCGATCTGCGTCAATGATATCAATTTCTTCACCTTCGGGAACCGCTTCGAGGACGTCAATAACCTCGCCGTCAGCGACTTCCACGAAAGCTGTTGCTCCGGGACGGCCCGATGGGTGATCTCCCGCAACTTCCTGCGGGTTCGTTCCCGTCAGTGACATGCCGCTCGCAAAGTTCGGAGGATATTAGGAAGAGAAGAGAAAGGGTATATAAGGCCCAAGGTCCTGGAGCAGATATGGAATGCCGAGTAATAAAGGTAAAAATAAAAATGGGAACATCGGAACTTACTGTTTTGATTCCTAGTATCCGTCCCCGTGGTGCCTTCTCAAGGTCGTGGTCTCTTCCTCCCCCTTGAAGCCGCAAGAGATAGCTTGGTTTGTAGCAGTATGCACAGGTACAAAGGACGATTGCACAGATGACGAGTGTTGAAAAGAAGATTGGGAGAAAAAAAGAGACGGTGGTCTTTGACATGCCCATTTGGTCGACGATGGGGGGGTAGTGTGATGTATGCGGATTTTTTTTTTTTTTTAGCCTGGTTCAGATTGACGTACTCCGGACGATCCGAATCCGCATTTCTCAGCAAAAGCGCTGTTTCAGTGGATCGTATCGTAACTCCGGAACAACTAAGCAGACTGGGGCCAGCAAGAGAACAATGGAGAAAGCGGGTGTGGCCAATAATATAAGGCTGAGCTGTGTTCGGGAAGCCTAAGAGCCGAAGGGGGGAGGGGGCAACCGGTAGGATGGTTGGCTGGCCGTGCAGAAGCAGTAAATTTATGCTGTGGTGGATTTACAACCGACCGACTGTTCAAGAGGAATGCTGATACGGAAATAAGAGTCTACTGAGGCAGTATTATCTGGAAGGACGTGAGTGAAATTGGGGGAAGCCAGCAGGAAGGGAGGTGGGAGGGAGGATGAAGTGGGAAGTGGGTGAGCGAGCGATTGAGTGAGTGAGATCCTGGTATGGCTAGGGGTGGTGGTGGGAAGGGGTGGGAGGGGAGGATATCGCTTGTTGGTGAAATGCGCGTGGCTAGGAGTGAAGGGATACACTGCTAATATAGAAAACCGAGCTGGCACTTTTATCTTCGGCATGATACACGAGATTCAATGTGAAGGACTGACTGGGTCGAGGACAGTCAAGTTGCCACGGGGTTGAGGGGCGGCCCAGTTCAACTGAAAGGCTCAAGAGGATGCCGTACCATTCATAGCAAGGAATTTTTTGTCGATGAACGGCGGTGAGCACTGGATGGGGAGTGCTTGATTTACTTTTTTCTCCTGGAAGCCCGCCGGCGGTGGGTCAAATTTTGAGACTTCTTTGGACTTATGGTTCAGAATGCAGGGCGAGATTGACGATTCCCATTGATTCCCATTGGTTCGGACACATCAGATTGGAGAGTCTGATAGACCTATGGTGCATCTATCTTTCTACAAGTACCGTATAGTACAAGTGCTCGTACTGTACTTAGTACTGCCGGCAGCACAGCAGAGGGAAACTCGTGCAGCTGTTGCCCTGCGGTCTGCGGGTGCGTCTGGAAAATCCCGTGGTCGGCCAGCCCCTCCCTCTTGTCGAACGACTTCGTCGAGTTCAACATCGGCGCGGGGAGGAAAGCCGGTTTTCTGATGGCACTCGTGCACAGTACGAGTAAGTTACTGGTATCCTGATTTCATCCCCGCTTCTCGTGCCAATCGGTGAATCGGTCAGCTGGCCCGCACTTGGAAGATGAGCGTCAAAAAGTATGATCCCACCTACCTCTCTCCACCCAAGCCGTCCACCATCCAGCACTCTTCTCTCCCCTTGCGGTTTACATCATCATTCTTGCGTTAACGGTGCTTGTCCCAGGCAAGAGGTATCCGAAAACAGGGGGGGGGTGTATACGAGTACCAGTATTCTGTATTGGCGCCTGGATACGCATAGATTTTTTACTTGTACAAGTACGGTACAGTACCATAATTACCTCCCAATCCCTGTTTTCGGGTATGATACTTCTTGCCTGGGACAAGCACTACCGGCACTGCATCCTCGCGACCTGATACTCTTCCCGGCAGGTTGACCAGGCACTATTTGAGCACGGTACCGGTGCTCGCATATTAGGGCACGGAGCTCTAATCTACTCGTAATCATGAGATTGCTGTCAATCCCCCCTTTCCTTTGTGCTGGCTCGACCAGGCTCGGCGATCCCCACATTTCACCCTTTGCCTTTGTTTTTGTTTTCAACGGTTTGCGTCCTTCTTTGTCCCCATCGAGAAACGGTTCTAGATCCTGGCACTTCGGTCGAGTTGGTCATCTTAGATCTGTGGGGATTACGGTGTGGACCCTGGCGGGCGCTGAAATATTATGCCGGTATCGTGCTCCGCAGTCAAGAACGTTGCCGCAAAAATCACTCGGTTGTGGGTGGGAAAGAATGACAGTCGCCAATTTAGCGCACCAGCACCCTCACCCTCACCCATCAAATCCATTCAGACTTAAATACCGGTGATATCTTTCCCATAGTCTATTGTGCTATTTTCCCCCACCCCACCATCTCTTTTTTGCGGTTTTCATCATTATCATCATGGCTGCAATCATCATCGTCACAGTCTCACCCTTATATGAATCCCATCGCTGGCCATGGATTTGTGTTTTGTCATATCATACAAGTGCAGCTCCATGCCTCAATCTTAGCGACTGCCCTAAATGGAAGGCACCAGCTACCTTCCTCCAACCCTTTGAAACATTACGAACTGCGAAACATTATTGCAACCCCGTCATTACCTATCAAATGCAATATCGTACAAGCGCAGGAATTGGGGGCTTAAACGAAGCCTGCGGTATCCGATCAGCATACAGTATGGATGCCCTGCCATCAAAATAAGGGTAGAGTGTGGTACGGCGCACCAACCTTATACTTCCTTGGAAGGTCATTTGACAATTTTGAACGTGAGAGATACAGCCAAGGAATGCCGGGCAAATACCAGTACTTATAGAGAAGACTGCTTAGAACTTCTCTTGTCCATGTGTTTGGATAAAGAATTCAATAGCATTGCCCTTTCAAAAGTAACTCCAGCCGGGGTTTAAGTTAGTAGGCTACGATGGATGGGGTAGCTGAGTCTCTAATAATAATTATGATTATTGTTCCCGGTTGTGCACCCGAGTTTTGCTGGGGTGTTAACGGTAGCACCCGTACGCACAATGTCAGCCGTATTCCCAAAGTCCCCCCCTTTTCCTCCTTTTCTTTTCTTTTTTTTTTACTGCAGTGCGATTGTTGGAGAATTGTTTTCGCGAGTGAATTTGTTCTCGAGCAATCGATTATTTTTCTTTTCTTCCTTCCATACAGTATACAGTATCCCTACAGTACAGTACAGTACTCGAGTACTCGTATCGTGTGTAGTACTGGTGGAATTGATCTCTCTCGTTCTCAATGCGTGTTTGGCTGGTGGTGGTGTGTGCGCCCACCGTGCTCAAATCCATGTAGCCTGATGTAGGTACAGTACAGTGCAGCACACAAGGACTTGTTTCGGCAGCCCCCTCTCCTTCACACTTTGATGTTCAGTTCCTCTCTCTCCGCATCACGACTTTGATGGACCACACACACATACACACTAGGATAAATTTATGATATTAAACACACGTTTGCTTACCGTAATTTTTATTGCGAGCCCTGCGCTTGGGAGTCATTTGTTTTCGGAGTGCGCCTGTCTGCAGGCCGGGGTCGCTCAACCTACCCCCAGGATGCGGTACCGTACTGTTGCTACAAGTGCCATGGGGCTTGAGATCTATGTTCACAGAGCGCATCAAATTTCTTCGATTCAATTCACAGCCTACCAGAGATCGTACTTGTAGTTCATGAATGAGGTGGTGATTTCTTATTTTATTTTTCCTTGCTTTTTCCCGTTTGGCACCTTATCATACATTTTATTTTCTTTCCCACCTTCTTTCTTTTCACTCGGCCTTTTTTCCCCCTCGTTTGGAGCACAGCACAGCACAGCACGGCGATCTCTTTTTTTCTCCCCTTTTTTCTTTTTCTTTCTTCCTCTTCTGCTCCAGTACGAGTACCGGTGGCATGTGTAAGGTTATATTAATTGCATGGCATTTGAGTCGAGTTGTTTGGGGTGGCGTGCTATGTGTTGTGGAGAAATGGGGAACCACGACATCTGTGATGGAGAATCTGTTTCCCCTGATTGATTAGAGCTCGGTACTCGTATCAGCACGTATTGCAGGTTGTAATATACTCTGCATACAGAGCACCCTAGATCGACGGTCAAGCCGAGATACTCGCACCGTAACACTGGGCACCACATCTTATTGTTTTTACTCGTACAGAATTTGGTTACCAAATCTCCAGGAAGTGAACACATCCGGGACCCGGGGAACGGGGGAATGTTGACAGGACAAGTAAAAGGGAGAGATAATCACAGCGGGCATAGTATGAGTGAGATGAGATATATTTTAAACGGGTCGAGAGAATGAATAGTATGAAAGGAATAGTCTATATCTACCGGTATACTCTACGGTCGGTGCCCAAAAGACCGTTTGTCCCCAAACGGGCCAAGCGAAAGGGGGAGTATAAGATGGGGAGATAATACTACACTTGTAGTGTAAACCATCTAAATCTCTGACCGTCTTGTTTTGTTTATTTGGATGGATTGATTTAGGCGAAGTGAACGGGGAGAAGCAAAGATTGTAGCAGGGATAAGTGTGCAGTTACTTACTTACTGTGCACGTCTAGAGAATTCTCATGATTGTTGTATATATATATATATATATATATATCTGTGTGTGTGTGTATACGCTTTTTTTGTATTTTATGACATTCTGTCCAAGATGCATGTAGGTATGAGTGCACAAGTATCGCCATCGATAGTAATACGATATTATGATATTATCTACCGTACTTGTTTGGTGGTCGTGATTTTTCGCTGTGATGATTTCTCTGCGCAGACCGCCGTACCGTATCGTACTTAGAATTGCTGCGGCAGCGCTTTCGACCAACTTCGCGCAGAGGGCTCACAACCTCCACTCTCCCTCCACTCAGGCACCCACGCTCTCTCAATCGACACTCCCTTCCCTTTCCCTCCTTCTTTCCCTCACCTTTCTCCCAGTTGCCTGCTCCGACCGTCCTGAGCCTTCGCTCGCTCGCTTGCGCACCTGGTTCTGGTTTTCGTCGTCCTCACTTCCTTTGCCCTCCGTCCTTTCCTCTCCTCCTCCTAACTCCACGCACACACACTCGCTCATCCGTTTTTACCCTACTCGCTCTGGTGTGCCCTACCCTCCCAGCCGTAGCGTATTTACACAGCATCTCCGCGTCGCCCCTGTCAGCCGCCGGCTGCTGGAGAGACCTCTCACTTGCTCCATACACACGCTCCCCTCAGCTCTCATTCTTCGCAACCTCACACCCCCTCCCCTCTTGTTCTCAACCTTCTTACCCCCCTCCCCAATTCCTGTTTTAATAACTTGCTGCCTCAACCGTTATTATTACCACTCAAAACCTCGAGCATCTGGTAGCCTCTTATCCAACAGGTCTGGTTATTCTTCGAAACCCAGAGAGGCTACTCGAAGCTACGCCAACCTCCATCCCTTTCCCTATTGCTCGGCACCAACCTCCCCTACCGTAGTGGTTCGTCTACTCCACTCATCCGCTTTCCCTCCGTTTCCTGGCATAGCTTTAAGGTTCCCTCTATAATATTTGCCTCCTCTCGTTTCCACGCTTCGCTGGCCGAATATTGGGTCTTGACCTATTCCTCATTTATCTCTCCTGGAGCTGAGTGTGAAACTTTTGTGTCCTACGCTCGTCACGTTTACTATCGGTACATTTTAGTCACCAATTACCTTCTCAGGTCAGACGGAGCAACACTGTTTGAACTATTGTGTGGTTACTTGATTTCTGGATTAGTATTTGCTGCTAAAAGATACTTGGTTCATTTGTCACTAGAGATTTATGACGTTGACCGTTGAAACGGGTGTTCCCCCGTCCCCAAGTCCGCAACAAGCAGCTTCTTGCCCGAGCAACCAGCCGAGCGGTTCTCGAAGACGGTATACCGTTGGATCTCCAACTTCTAGTCTCAAGCCAGTCGTTTATCCCCCTTCTCAACCTTCCCCACCATTTCTGCCTCTTTTACCCCCTAATACAGAACTTTCGCCCCATCCTCGCAGTTTCTCAACCGAGCAGCGCACGAACGCTAGAGGCAGTTCGCCATCGTCACGAGCAACTCGCCGTCAGGTTTCAGCATCACCGGAGCGTGGTGGTCAATATAGATCGCAAGGGATTGGTGGTTCTTGGTTGGGGAATGGGCGGAAAAATTACGGGCAACAGTCTGGAGCAAAGTATATCTTGCCAACAATGGCTGGAAGGAGGAACGAGTCTGGACCGCCGATGACGCTATCTCATGCACGGCCTCCTTTTAAAAACCAGAGGGCAAGTTCATCAGCCCAATCCAATTCGTTGCCTTCTACACCAAACCACCATCCTCGTCAGGCTAATGGAGCTTCTCGGAGCCCTTCACCAACGTCTGCTCTTGATTCGCCAAGGTCGGCGGCATCAGAGCCACTAATTCCATCTATCCAGAAGGCGCCAGTGGTATCGCCTAGAACATGTATTTATGAGACAGGGCTGGCTAACATCCGAAGGCGGATGCCATACTCTTTGGGAATCGACAAGCTTGGAAACGAGAAGCCAAAAGCCGAAAGGCTGTCTGTCGAACAGGAAGGGAAATTTACGGAAGATATAAAGAGTTTATTCGAGACATTGAAGCCGAGCGAAGCTAGCGGGGATCGGAGGCGGAGATTTTTGGAAAAACTTGAGAGGTTGCTGAATAGGGAGTGGCCAGGTCATGATATACAAGTGCACGCTTTTGGATCAACTGAGAATCACCTTTGCATGATTGATTCAGATAGTATGTTCCTATTCACAGTCCGGTAGTACTAGGCTAACCTTGTGCAGTTGATGTGTGTATAAAGACTAGTTGGGATGGACTCAAGTCGACATGTTACTTGGCAGCGAGGCTTGCTAAATGTTTGTTCTTCGGATTATATTGTTTTGATAAGAAGGCGGCGATCTAATGAGTATCATAGGTGGCATGGAACGGGTGGTTTGTGTGCCTGGAGCCAAGGTTCCAATCGTAAAGATCTGGGACCCTGAGTATCAGGTTGCATGTGACATGAATGTCAACAGCACTTTGGCCTTGGATAATACTAAGATGATTAAAACCTATGTTGAGATTGATGAGCGGGTTCGACCGCTTGCCATGATCATCAAACATTGGACAAAAAAACGGGTATTAAACGATGCTGGTGAGTTTGAACTTGGTATTACCCACCCGAATAAATTCTGACACATGGTGTAGCTGGCGGTGGAACCTTGAGCTCCTACACCTGGATTTGTATGATTTTAAACTTCCTACAGACTAGAGATCCACCTATCCTGCCCGCTTTACATCAAAGACCCCACAAGAAACGGCCCCCTATAAACGGTGTTGATATATCTTTCGATGACGATATCGAGACATTAAAGGGGTTTGGGCACAATAACAAGGAAACCTTAGGGGAGCTGCTTTTTGCCTTTTTCAAAAAGTACGGGCACGAGCTAGATTATGAGAAGAGGGTCATATCAGTCCGCCATGGAAAGCTTCTGTCTAAGGAAGAAAAGAATTGGCAGTACCTTCAGAATAACCGACTCTGTGTTGAGGAACCATTCAACTTTACTCGAAATCTGGGAAACACAGCTGATGACTCGTCAGTTCGCGGGCTTCATCTGGAATTCAGGAGGGCGCATAAGATACTATCGGAGGATGCAGACTTGGCTGCTGTTTGTGAGCAGTACGAGTTCCCTCCCGGGGAGCCCCATACATCAGTACCGATCCAGCAGCCGGTGCATCGCCCTGTTACCCTCACCCGTGGTTACCCTAACCACAAGTCACGGGGAGGATATAATAATAGAGGCAATCGGCCGCAACACTATATGAATGGTAACCGGAATGGCAACCGGAAGCCTGGTAACAACAATTATAACAATCATTCTAACAATGTTCCTCTTCAGCATCGCTATCTGTCACCTGAGATATTCGGATATGTCCAGACTCCACAGGAGCAACTGTTGGCTTTGCAAGCTCAATTTCACCATGCACGTGTAGCCCAGGCTCAGCTCGCGCAAGCTCACGTTCACGCTCAGTTGCATGGGCAACAGACTCAGACCCAGAGTTCTAGTGCCTCTACTAATGCCCATGGATCTGCACTGACACCCCAAGACTTTGCAGCTATGGGTACTTTATCGTCCTATGCATATTTTGCGCAACTCTGGGGGATGAATTACTACTACCCTTCCGCACCTTTACATAGTGAACTCCCAACACAGATGGCTCCACAGGTGGCGACTGGAATGAATGAGTCTAGGCAGCGGGCTGGCCAGCGGCGGCATAACGGGTATAGTGCGGGATCAAGATCCCAGTCTCAACCTCCCCCATTATCTGAAGTGTATTCGGTGCCAAGTTATGGTCGTGGGGGGTCATCTGCAACAGGCGTTACTGGTTCGGAGGGTGATGATTTTGCCGACCATTCTTCCAACGGAAACCCAGCAACCCCCCCCGAGGAGGAGCCGGACGAGTACGTTGGTTACTATGCATATGGTGGGTCACTGCAGAGTGCCCCGGCGGTTGTTGACTCGGTCGGTGAAGAGGAGGAGCCCTTTATAGAGCAAAAGTCTATTGTTGATCGTCAGTCAATTTCACTTGGTAGCCCAGGCTCATTTGAGGATCGTGGGCCAGTCATTGTCAATGGATCCATCTCGACATCTTCAGTTCCATATCCCGATACTCCATATTCAGGCCTTCCGCTCCCTTCCGAAGAGCTGTATCAGTACGACGGACTTATGTCAGGTGTAGACCCGGGCGGGTCTGAGAGATCTGGCGACAAATCTCTGGGTACGGAGGCCATCAAGAACGATACGTCTTCCCTCGCCCAGAAGCTCCTCGAGGTGCATATTCAAGCAGCCGTCGGAGGCCCTGAGGCAGGGCTTACCGGTTCTGCTCAAACATATACCAATGGTCCGTCTTCGGCGAGTGTCTCTACGTCGAGTCTCCTTTCTTCACCCCAAAACACGCAGCCGTCCCAAGTGACGTCTGACGACGATGTGGACACTTCCGTTTCCCCTAGGCTGTCGCCTAACTTGCGCCAACGCGCGGCCAGGGAGCAACTTCTGTGGAGCAATGCTAGGGTTCCACCTGCCGATAATACTAACTCCAAGACGGCTGGCGCTTCACAGGCAGACCTTGCCCCACCTCTGACACCTGTGCCTGAGGTTCGGTCTCCATCCCCCACACCTGCGCCAATATCGGTACCAGCCCCAGTGCTGGCTCCAGCGAAGAGGGAATCTAGCAGCACTTTACCGCCAAAGTCTGGACATAATGGGCATAGTGGAAGGAGAAGTGGCAGAAATCATTCTGCACAGGTACCTCCCACTCCAGCAGATAAGTCGTCCAAGAGTTCTGGTGGGTCTAGGGGCAACGGGAGCGGCAATAACCCCAAGCAAAACTCTGGGACCAAGTCTGACTCAAAAGCATTCAAGTTGCGGAAGACCAAAAAGAGGAACTCACCCAAAACAAATGATTCTCCTCCTGTTAATGAAGCGGACCGGAAGGGTGGATAGGCTGACTCTTCCCTCTTTTCTTCCACACTTCGCCTAGTTGCCAGGTGTTTGGGGGTAAAGTTGAGTTTGTACGATGGAATTGTCGATACATGACAAAAAGTGATGACTCTGGCGCAGGAGTGTAATCGATTGTTTTTCCTTAACTCTATTTGCAGTTGGCCCCTGTTTTGTGCTTTTTCTTTTGTTTTTGCACTCGGGATTAACGGTGGTGGGTTTTCAGAATGCGTGATTTTTACTTTTCTTCCCTAGCATTTCTTTTTTGCCCCCTTTCCCCGTGCTATTTCAGAATCAATGTGGGTTTCTTGGTCTGTTATATCTTATTAATACGGAAACGGGATTGATCCATGGCAACTGCATTGTCCATATCATTTTTATCCCTAGTTTTTTTGTATTCCCACTTCACTCCCTTTCCCACTGGCTTATTTTTGAATTTTTCCTTTTTTTTGACGTTTTGCGTTATTTCGGGGCTTACTTTATAAACAAACACTTTTTTTTTTCTTTCCGTTTTCACTTTCCGTTTTCACTTTTTTCCCTTCTTGTTTTTGCTTTTTCACGTGACGAGGAAAGGTAGCCTGTGGAATTGGATGCAGCAGCAAAGGAAGAAAAGGCTCAGGAATTTGTAAAGAACAGTTTTCTTCTTCAGTTGCTTTCATTTCCTTCATTTATCCTTGTATCACCATAACGAACAACCAGGCACAACAAAAGGCTTTCTCGCCCTCAACAGAGAGAAATTGCCTAAAGCATCATCGTCACTATGGCAGAGAGGGCCGCGAATTTCTCTCTATTTTTTTTATCCCCTTTCAGTTTCTATAAAAAAAAAATTCCATTGACAGTGTTTCTTTTGTCTTTAAATTTTTTTTTTTTTGCTCACTTATAGGGCCTTTTATACTCTTATACACCGGGTTTTTCTCTTCCTTTTTATTGCGTTTTTGCTAATTTTTTACCATGGGATGGAGCGGATGCGGATGGATTGGTGTCTTGTTTGGGAGTCTTTTGCTTTTGTTTCCATTTTATTTATATATATATATATATATATTACATCTGACTTTTACTTACGTTACCTGTCCATTAGCACCGTAGTCTTTTATTTTGTGCTTTTTTTTTTTTTTTTTTTAACTTTTCTTCCCGTCATTTTTCATTTGTATTAGAAGTTGTAGATGGTCTTTGATTGAATTGAAATGGTTGGATGGAAATGGGGAACATTGGTGGGAGGGGAGTGTATGTGTATATGGATGGTATCATAGTCAATGGTAGAGCGGGTTGAACGGGGGAAATGAGACTTGTGTGTTTGGGATGGGAAGAGGAAAAGTTGTGGAAAATAATTTTCCGCCTTTGATATTATTGATCGGGGGGGAGGGGGGGGTGATATAGGTTTTCGGGTGATCCGCCTTGTTCCGGGGACGGGTGCGTACGGTGCGGCACGCTGCAGATCGTTGGTGCCCGGGAAAGCGTGCCCGGTTGCGTCGACTTGGGACTTGCGGTCATGCTTAAGTTAAACAAGGACACAGCCTACGGTGTTTTCACCGGATCGTTTCCATAGCATGTATGTATGATAGTGTTGATTTGTCGTACCAGTCTATATTAGATTTATCCTAATGATAGTTCGTAGACAATGTCATGATGCTAGTATGTAATATAAATTTTATATACATTTGAGAAACCATGTAACGGATGTATACAGCGGGGGAATCAAGGGGGGGGAAGAAGAAGAAGAAAAAAAGAAGAAAAAAAAGACATTCAGTGACTGGCAGTAGGCTAGACGTCCTGTTTTAGTTCCACTTCTTGATTATTACTACCAGCAGTGCTCGCCATATCGCTGCCGTGGGGTTTCTCGCCGACGGATTCAGACAACGCTGTTGCTACCGTCGAGATAGCACCTGCCTCCTTCTCCGCCTTGCGCTGCTTCCGAGTGCGGAATAGCCATACCCAGTGCGAGATGAATATCCCGGATTCGAGGAGGATGACGACGAGGTATAGCACCCCACCGAGGTAATCGAAGGTATTTTGCGCGACGAGGCTCATGATGGAGAAGAGCGCTCCAAGCCAGTCTATCGACAAGAAGACGAAATCTATCCTCCGCCCCAACCCACGTCCCTATTAGCCTAGCCCTAGCCCGCACCCCCCCTCACCTCTCATTCACCAGCACATCCAATTCCAAAAGAGAGAAAAAAAAAAGAACTGACCAATCCCAACAACCCTCCCCCGCCTCTTCCAGATCTCGAAATAGGGCGGAATCAAGCCTGCAGCCAGCAGTATTGATGCTATAATGCCAACGACTAACATGGGCCACTCGGTGCCGCGGTCGTAGATTGGCTGCAGGGTGAGGATCAGCGCGACTTCGGTGCCCGCACAGGCAATGGCCACCGCGAGGGCTATCAGGCTGGAGGACCAGACGGCCCAGCCGGAGGAGTAGTGAAGGCATTGCGCCCAGGAGATTAGGGAGAGGGAGGCAAAGACTTGGGGTTGTATTTGGATGGGGATGTTGAGGTTCTTGGATAAGATTGTTGTTAGCTGAGGAGTGATTGGTGGGGGAGGGGGGAAGGGTTGTTGGTTGGTTGGTTAGGGTAATTGGGTATTATAGAATGGTTATCATCTATGAGTACTGTACTGGTACAGTACAAGTGACTAATTTTATATCATACCTGAATAACTGCGTAAGCTCCGAATGGAACTCCGGCTATAACAAACAGCACACATCCAACTCAGTAATCGAACGAAATGGATTTTTGACAAGCTGCAAGAAGCGTCCGGGACATACCAAAACCCCAGACCAACATCATTATCCCTGGCAATCCCTCCGTCGACTTATTCCTATAATTGAACCATATCTGCGGAATCAACTGGATGCACCAGAGCACCGTCCCTATGGTCCCCAGGACATTGGCCGCTGGGGGAATGGACTCCTGCGCAGGCATGCTTTCTTCTTCTCTGCTATGTTAAATTTATCACCGAATTGTCGATCGATATTTATAAACGCTGTTGGGTGGTGGTGGTGCTGTTGAATGAACTAATAAGCAGACAAGCTTGCTAGCTGGCAGAAGAAAGGTCTTTTGCTGTGTGGACTATTTGGTTGGTTGGTTGGGTGGGTTGGTGGGAGCGTGTGGTAGCGGTGACGACAAAATCAAGAAAGAAGGAGATCAGCCGAACAAAAGGGAGAAGGCTTCCTGGAGGCTATATAACCCAAGCCTGTAGAAAGGGCTCTCACTTTTTTCCTTCCTCCTCCTCTTCTTCGTCTTCCTTTTCGAGGCGTGGGCGGGCGGTAACGGCAATGTGCTTGCGGGCATGGTTGGTATGGCAGGTATGGTTTATAGCTCCCAGACACAAAGTCATCATCGATAGGTGAAAACATAAAGCCAAAATCATCCGAATTTGACCGCCAACTAAAAATCCGCAGCAGCAAGTTCGTTCGAGAAACCCCCCCCCCCTTCATGCGAGTCATTACAAAAAATGCTGGCTGTGTGGGTGGGTACCCGTAGCCAATGAAACTTGGCGACTTAATATGTCTCTTTAGCTGCGATTGATTTTCAATTTCGTCCCTTGCACGAGTCATCATGCCGAGTTGTCGGGATTTGTACGATATCATACTCTACTATGTGTACTGTACCCGCGGAAAAAGGTACCCATTTTGAAAGAAGATTCCTAATTTCCCATAAATTTAAGCCTATGATACTACTACTACCGTAACCAACAAACTCTGGATGTGCCTGATTCAGCTGACTTTTTTTATTTTATAATATATATATATTGCGAAGTCCGTACCACCACCGCCCGATAACCCGATGTACAGTACTGTACGGTACTTGTATACCCAATTGAGGTGGACCTACCTTACCCACTACCTACCTACCTACCTGGCCCTATGAGGTTGTGAAAATGGCCACTTTTAGGTTGTAAAAAAAAACGATGTATATACCTTTGGGAGGGGGGCCCCTTGTTACATAGGGCTATGATACTTGTACAATGCGGTTAATTGAATTCTCACATTTTCGTTACGGCATGTTTGTCAAGATGGGGGGGGGGTTTGCGGCGGTGGGGGTGGGGATTCCATTACTACTATTGGGTTAGCGCGAACCTTTCACAACCCCCTTGGAGGAACACGACAAGGATAGTTGCTTACGGTATTTATTATATAATTGTTTGAGAATGGATTGTGTGGAATCGGTCGGGCAACACCGGGTTTTTTTTGGGGAGAGAGAAGCTTAAACTTGGTTCAGTTGTCTTCACTTTGCCTTGGTATCATATATCATACTTACAGTTACTTGTATGGTATGATAGCATAATGCAAAAGGCCACCAATAACCCCCCCCACCTCGGGAGAAAAGAAAAGAGAGAAAAAAGAGAAAAAAAAGTCATGGCATTTACGTTCATAGTATGAGTACGGTACTGTATGTACTGTACGATACTGTGCAATGCATGCTCGTCTACGTACCGGTAATAGAGCTTTTCTGGAGTCCCGATTCGGTTGCGAACAGAAAATTTTTAAGTTTGCACAGACTAACCACTAAACCAAACAAGGAAGTTGTGTAACTGTGACATATATGAGAGAAAAATCAAGAGTACCAGAGTCTTTGATCAGGCATGTCAGGATCAAACCTCAATACCTCAACTCGAGATGGATCTTTCAAACATTGTGAATACAGTTCCGGAGGCAGAGTTTTATCCCCCAATCCAAGCCGCACGTTGAGACCGCAATACTCGGCAATCTGATGGTTTCGAGGCATGCAAAGCTCTCTGTACTATGATCAGCGATATCAATCTATACTCAGCACCATAGTGGTCAGCTGGAGAGTATTGAGAACAAGTGCGGAAGCAACTTGAAGAGAGGTGATATTACATTGGTTGAGATGCAGTGAAATTAAAGAGGAGGTTGATAGATTTAGTAAAGTTCAAAGAAAATCTGGTATAGAAAGAAACGGGGGGAGGATGTCAAATTGCCAACAATAAGTTCTAGCTGAATGAAAGTGACTTGATCAGATTGGCAGCACTATTAGAAAAGGTAATGGGATTAAAGGAGGATGTGAGAAAGGATAAAGAGGAGAAAACCGCAGCAAAAAGGAAGGCTGAGGAGGAGGAGCGAGACCGAGGACTTGTTATATGACTATTGGCAATGCAAGGAATGATAAGAACTGAGCAGTTAAGTTTGAATCATATCAAAAATGCATCCCTAAGTGCAAATCCTCAGTGAATCATCAGAAAACGTCGTCGATTATCAGAACATATTACTACATCTCCAGGAGGTGGTATCTTGAAAGAATGGGTGCCAGAGAATTCTGGAACAATAGCTGCCACTCCACCAATTCAACAGCATATATGTACACCTGAGTCTGTATTGTAGATGCCACTGATTTCTCCTACTCAGCAAGCTCATTGCTAAGTACCTGTCAATACATCCTCATCCTTCCAGAATCCTACCTGCCAAGTACTTCCAGTAGCAAAGCTTTCGTTGATGTTTTTGGAGCTAACTCAAGCTCAAGAAACAAAATGAGAAAAAGGTAAGGAGAAATTTAAGATGCAAATAGAGGCTATGGAGAATGAATTAATAGAGATTCAATGTAAGTTAAGAGAGTTATGTACAATTATGGAGGATATTCGGGCAGAATAGAGGTTTTTTGAGGTAATAGGAACTGAGAAAGAGGTATTCTGTCAATATTACTGTAACGATCCCTCCTTGGATAGTTAGTTCTTGGCGATGGGGAATGACACTTCTCTTCTTCTTCTGTTTCTTTCCTTAGTCTTATGATAGTGCTAGGCTACTGCCTATGTTATCAATAGTACAAGACCTTTGTCTTCTATCGGGAACGCCTATCATAAGCTTTCTCTAACTCTTCTGCATGAAGAGCTTTCCTTGGTGTAACGATAACATTGCAATAAAGATGAAGATCGTAAAGGTGTTTTATATTCGTTAAAGTAATAAGTAGGAACAGTACTTAGAACAAAGCGTGAAGAACCTATCCTCCTCGGCCGTGTTGACCTCCTTATATAGTGTTCTTCCCACCCATAGTCATGTGACCGAAAGTGGTCACATGCGCAAAACCAAATCATAACAAACTAATTATGTGACCAAAGTGGTCACATGCTTAAAATCCATGACCTCATAGCAAGGTCATGTGCGAAAACTCATAAACTAATTATAACATAATAAACAAGTCATATGTGTGAAACCCATGATATCATAACGAGGTCATGTGCAAAACATAAATCATATGTATAAGGCATACCTGCAAGGCATACTTGCAAGGCATACTTGCAAGGCATACTTGCCAGGTGCACATCCCCTGACTCATATTCGAGTCATGTGCGAGATATAACAAATCATAACATACTAAGTCATATGACCCAAATCAGTCATATACGCGAAACCATAAGATACCTATAACTCATAATCATGAGTTATGTGAAAACCTTTTCCGTGCTAAGCTATATTCATGACAATTACTTACCTTGTTGGAATTGATTTCTTCCTATCTGTACCTATGTAAACCAGAGATCTTTTTTCTTCATCTAACTTCTCCTATACGATTTTGACTTATCTTGTTCCTATAACTCCATCATTTTTGAAAATCCATTAACTAGTTTACAAATTCTTTTTCATTAATTATTTTTCAAGTAGTTTTCAAGAGTAGGAGGACAACAATTAAAGTAAAAGAAGGTTTCAGAGCCATACAAACAGATATGAATATTGGTGAAAATAGTAGCAATACTATACTGAATGCCAATAGGTGAAGAATAAATATGTTGTGTAGAAGAAAAGTCTAGTGCACTCCAAAGGCATACAATATCAGCAAAACCCCATTCAACTACCGTCTGGCATGATGACATTCTTCTATTAAATTCCTTTTCCTTCTTACTTAATTGAAAACCATCAAAGAGTAAAAGTGAAGCTGTAGATACAGGATAAGTGTAACGATCCCTCTTCGGATAGTTAGTGCTTGGCAACGGGGAACGATACTTCTCTTCCTGTCTTCTTCTTTCTTTGTGTCTTACGATAGCTCTAGGCCTCTGCCTACGTTACCGATAGTACAAGACTCTTGTCTTCTACCGGGAACGCCTATCATAAGCTTTCTCTAACTCTTCTTCGTAAAGCGCCTTCCTTGGCGTAACGATAACGTTGCAATAAAGATAAAGATCGTAAAGGTATTTTATATTCGTTAAAGTAATAAGTAGGAAAAGTACTTAGAACAAAGCGTGAAGAACCTATCTTCCTCGGCCGCATCGGCCTCCTTATATAGTGTTCTTCCCGCCTTTAGTCATGTGACCTAAAGTGGTCACATGTGCGAAACTAAATCATAACAAGCTAGTCATATGACCAAAGTGATCACATGCTCAAAACCCATGACCTCATAGCGAGATCATGTGCGAAACTCATAAACCAATCATAACGCAATAAACAAGTCATATGACTCGACTGAGTCATATGCACGAAACCCATGACATCATAATGAGGTCATGTGCGAAACATAAATCATATGCGCAAGGCTTACCCGTAAGGCATACTCGTAAGGCATACTCGTCAGGCGCATGTCCCATGACTCATACTTGAGCCATGTGCGAAAGCATCACAAATCCCACACATAACTAATCATATAACCCGAATAGGTCATATGCGTGAAACAATAACATACTTGTAACTCATAACCATGTGTTACGTGAAAACCCTTTTCTCGCTAAGCCACGTTCGTGACAATAAGCTGGATCTCCATAAAGGTAAAACGATGGTGCAAACTTTTGACATCTAGAAAGGAGTTTACTATTTGACATTAATGCATTATCATTCCTTCTTCCTTCAAATGGTTCCCATAGATGACAAATAATGCCATCCAATCCCTTTACAGCGGAGTATTTCATAGCATGTATATACTTATAGCCATTATAGCACTCCTTTTGCTGCTGGGTTGAATAGCAAATCTCTCGAATTGTGCAGTAAATAAATCTCCAGTATGCCTTCACGGGTGCTTCTTTAGCATGAATCTTAGAGGCAAAGAAGTCAAATTTCATAGTTGAAAGATATTCAGAAGCAAGTTGTAAGTTGAAATCATGTAACAAAAAGTGCCAATTCTGATAAATGAATGACAGAATTCAATTTACAGCCTCTGAAACTGTACCTGTAACGTGTTCGCAAGGTGCTAATCACGTTATCGGTAAAGATACGATAGTTGGCAGGTGGCCTGCTCTTCCAGAGAGGAGGCGAGAGCTGAGAACTAAAGGAGGCTTCGAGGATGTACTCAGGAACAAAGAAGTAACCGTTCAACCAAGTATATTGAAATACTGTCTGTCGAAGTCTGCCCTTTCTATCGTAGAAACAGGCGGTCTTTAAATACACAAATCTGTTCATGTCTTAACATGAACGAAACTAATTAAAAGGTATCAATCGATACACTTTGGTAAAACTCCTTAAGTATCAAAGCGATACTTAAAATAAAACATAAAACAAAACCAAGTATCAAACGATACTTAAAACTAACCAAGTATCAAAGCGATACTTAAAACAAAACATAAAACAAAACCAAGTATCAAACAATACTTAAAACTAACCAAGTATCAAAGCGATACTTAAAACAAAACATAAAACAAAACCAATAACCAAGTACCTGTACCGGTTACAGTACCAGGACTGTAGGGGAAAAAGATCACAAAGGTTTCTAGACGAGTTGGCCATGCTAAGCAGCAAAGGAGTAGAAAAAAAGATTCTTCACCAGACAGGTGTGCCCCCGAGGGTGTAGAAAATGTGGGAGGAAGGTCAAGTAATCTGGAGGTACACTTAAGGTTCTGTAGTGTAAACTGAGTAAGATGGTAAACATCATTGTCGGTTAGAGATTTTAAAGTATACTGGCGATAAGACTATCTAGCTAGTAGTTCCCAGCTGTTGCACTTGATAAGGCAAAGAAAGACCACTTCAGGAGTACATGCTTCCAAATATTCTGCTGTTTCTTGATTAATCATCGATAGGAGATGCCGAACTGATTCCAAGTTTGCCATCCTGTCTGTCTGGTATGGTTTCGGGGGGGGATGATTTCAGACTCAGATGCTGGAGAATTTTCAACTTATATGATGTTACTCCTATGATGATCCTTTCCTTCTCAGACCACTGCTCCTCATAAGTCTCTTACTGCCCCCCTTGATTAACTACATGGAGTATAGTCATAGGTCTGTGCAAACTTAAAAACTTTCTGTTCGCAACCGAATCGGGACTCCAGAAAAGCTCTAATAGCGCATCTATCATACAAAGTCATTGGGTTACGCTAACTTGACTACCCACTTTGTGACATCAGACTTTCCATGAGGTGTGCAAGCCCCGGCTGGGAATGCTTCTATGACGCG